AAGAAACAGTCGGTCCTCTCCTAGTTCTTGTTCAATATATATATATATATATATATATATATATATATATATATATATATATATATATATATACAAATACACAAACACATACATACAATAGATAGATAGATAGATAGACAGACAGACAGACAGACAGACAGACAGACAGACAGATAGATAGATAGATAGATAGATAGATAGATAGATAGATAGATAGATAGATAGATAGATAGATAGATAGATAGATAGATAGATAGATAGATATACTTATTATCATAATCATTCTAAGAGCTAATCCAATGGTGAGGTGTATCGTGGACTCTGGGTATCAACACCCAGAACAGCAAATACAAATTCAGCAATCTGATTTATCTTTTTTTAGGACGGATGATACTTGATCAATACACGTCTGTTTATTTTCTCTATTTTCGTGCAAAACTAATCGTTGAAAAGATTTCACACCTTTTACACGTGATGAAGAGCATAACCTGGAAGAATTGCATTCTAACTGGGATTGGCTGCCGCTGTTGTTGTTGCTAAGTTTTAAAGAATTTTGTTGTATTGGACATGATCATTATGCCAGTGTTGCACTTGTACTTTGAGAAGTTCTACACTGAAAATGTTTAATGCTGTGTGACATTCAAGATTTCCACAAGATAAACTGTCTCCTCCAAAGCCGCTCCCAAACGAGCTCTATGGTTACTTTTGAGGCTTATGGCAATTTCGTTGTGAAGCATCGTAACGTATTGTTGGGAACCTTCCAGAGAACTGTCACTATGTAAAGTCAAATATAACTGATATATTCATAGTTTGTCTTGTCTTCTGAGGTGAAAAGACGACTTCCTGCGGTACCAAACAGATTGCTGTGACCGTCTTTAGCATTTTTGTTGCTACTGTTTGTATTTGGGATCGGTAAGTAGATAACAAGGACAATTACTTAGTCTTATGAGTCTATACTCTTCAAATAAGTAACAGAAATGAGTGAAAACAACAGGCTTTGTAAAATTTAACAAATAACTTATTTTCCTAGAATAAAAAGTGATAAATTGTTAAACAATAACTTACAGTTTTACGAATTAAATCCAGAAATAATCAAAGAATTTAACATAGAAGTCCTAGTAATAAAAAGCCCTGAATAAAACTGAGTTCGAAGCTCGATGAAATACAAAATTGAAGGTGATAATGTCTGTAACATTCCACGAAGTGCGGATGTGTCAACAGTCTCTTGGTAAATCACAGAAAGGATTATTCAAGTTTTGAATTCAGTATAAATTCAAATGAATGTCTTTATCCAAGAAATTTGTCAAAGCACTTTTTTATTTCCAGAGAAAAGGATCACTTGAATTCAACAATTTAAAGAAAATAAAATGTAGAACAAACCGGCCACAACTTTATACAATTTAACGTGTCACGTGTTTCAGACCCAACTGACAAACTTTTATTTAAACATCAGTTATATGACTAATTAAGACGCAAAACATTCCCGGATGAAGGTCAAAAATTCATTCTTCTGTAAAAAGAAGAAGCTTGTTACTAATTGGCACATTATATTTGTCACGTAGTAAAGGTATCACCTTGACTCGATGATTCTTCCTCTAAGAAAGATTTTAAAAAATTAAAATGTTTACGGAAACTGTCAATGATTTTGGATCAAGGTCAGCAACTAGATCCACTGTTTCATTTACCCATAGAGGATAATGAAGCTATTATTTTTTATCTACATAAATGAAATAAAAAATACCTTATCAGGTCAAAGAGAACTGTACTCAATTATGGACAATGTCAAATCCAGTAATTACAGAGAGAGAGAGAGATCACACACACACACATACACACACATACATACATACATACATACATACATACATACATACATACATACATACATACATACATACATACATACATACATACATACATACATACATACATACATACATACATACATACATACATACATACATACATACATACATACATACATACATACATACATACATACATACATACATATATATATATATATATATATATATATATATATATATATATATATATATATATATATATATATATATATATATATATATATATACAAGAACAAGTTGACATTAGTCCAATGGTTTAACATTAGTATGCACTATGGGTCCAATGCAAAGAACAATTTTATGTGCAAATTCGATGCCGCAGCAAACTGCGTAATATACAAATTCATGCAAAAAATACAAATAGAACATATAAATTAGATTAGGGAGTTCCATATTTTATAACATCAATAATAAATTAAAAACCTGAGAAATCAGTGGAAGCTCATACAAAAAAGACATTTATGTACCCAAGCCTCAAATTTACCCATGCATTTTTCTTTATCTGAACGTCTTTTTTGACACAAAGTTATGTTCACTGTGCAAAAGCTACTTCTTTCCGTAGGTGATAATTTGGAAACGCATTTTGTACGAAAGAGCTTGAATGGAAGCCTTTTTGGGATATTCTACCTGAATATTATACAAGGCTTTGCTGCCATGAGTGACTAATTTTGCTTCCGATAATTTGTATTTTACAGCATAGATACTCTGAAATAAGTATATGATATGTACTTTGTTGACATGTGTTTCAGGAAATGTACATGTCAAAAACACCAAATTCGCAAATATTAGGCAACACTAGCAGATAAAGTCACGTCATCGTTTTAAGACAAAAATTGAAAGTATGGGGGTGAAGGGAAATGCAATGTTAAAAAAGTTTATAACATTTACATATGTTGCTATACTTTGTTATTGCTTAGGGTACAAAAAAGTCACTTTGGAGACGAGTGGAAACGTAATATTATAAATGTCGGTAGGTTTAATATACACCTACTGATCAAAACACAAAAACACTGACCAACAACCTGGACAACCGACCAACACCATACATACGAATCAACGCCTAAAATAACCGATCAGCAAGAACATTTACGACCAACTTCTGTGCCAACTGACTAACATCCTGTCTAATTGACCAGCAGCCACACTTGTTCAGCAAAACATAGTATTACTAACCAGCACCACATCTATTGGCCAGCACATACATATCTGGCTATCAACTGCATTAAAGACCAACACTAAGTTTAACTTGCCATCTCCAACATCTACCACATTCATACTCACGGTTTTCATGGTCACTAACCAATAAACAGTCTTATTGACCTACACATTCACATAAACTCTTACGTATCAGTATCCACATCTAATCAGCGCCTACGCTTACTAACCGATATAGTATTTTTGATAAATACTCCTATATACTAACCAACACATAAATCTACTGACTAATGCGAAATCTCTCTGACCAATACAAGGTCGTACTAAACAGTATTCACACATACTTTTAAACATATACATTTACTGACCGACATCCACACGAAGATCAGACTTGTCCTGGCAGAATGTAAAGAAAGATGAAATGTGATAGGATTTAAAGATTCGTTTTATGTAATTGTTACTTATTAGTGTTACATCATATGCATCATATTACCCCTTACCAAACCAGACTGTGCAAAGCACTCACAGCAATTTATATGAAAATTGGTTTAATAACATCCGGAATTTGGAAAATGAAACTAAATGAATGTTTGCGATTTCATTAATTAATAATCACGAATAAGAAATGTATCGACTTCAATATTCTTCATCTATTATTCATGCTTGTATGTTAGCTGAGGTCAGTTGTACGACCTTAATTTATCGGTTATATATTACCTTTTTATGCTAATATAATGTGATATCAGTTTTACATAAAATGACGATCACAAAATCAGAATTCGGAAGATGAGCATTCCGTTACTTTCTTATCAGTTCTCATGTAAATAATACATAATAAGAAGTATCACTATTTAACTATTTTTATTGAAATCCTCCTTAAGTAAGTATGCAATGAAATATTTATCATTGATGTACTACAGAAAATGAATTTAATTTGCACACATTTAAAAAAATTAAAAATGTTTTTCTGTTTTTATTAGAACTACTTAGGTAAGTAATTAAAGGTGATTCTCTGTGTTGGAAACATTGTATTTCATTCGATATTGTCTTTGTCACTGGTAAGTAAGAGATGAACATTGTATCATGATTTGACAATGAGACAGACAAACAGACATAATGATAGACATATATTCTTGCATTAGTGTAATAATAATAATAATAATAATAATAATAATAATAATAATAATAATAATAATAATAAATAAATAAATAAATAAACAATATTTTCCTTACAGATTTTTTAACCAACCAAAACGTTACCTGTCTTCAATATAAATCATCGTCATTAGCTTACACTTAAAGTAATTGATTTGTATGAAGTTTAGCGGTTTTTACTTTGGATTACAAATTTAGCAGGAGCATCAGTGAGGGTGAAGAGACTAATATTTGCAAAAATGAAGCTTCCTACTGAGAGTATAAATATAAAAATGTCACAGAGATCGCTAACCGGGTTATTTTTTATGTGTCAAATATATTTACTGGGGTTGTCATCCATGTGTGCATGGCAAAGAGATAACTGTCTCTTAACCAAACATTTTATCGATATCGAGACCGGGGATCATGTAAATTTACCAACACGTAAGATATTCACTACGCACATTTTCATGTCAGCATTTTCAATAAAGAATATCAGGCAGATATTTTGTTATTACCACATGATACTATTAAAACTGGTTTACGCCAATAGCGCACATACAAATACGCATTGACTCGTTAACTTTGGAAGTAGATATAAGGAAGCAGAACCACTATCAACAATGAGTGTGAGTGTAAGTGATTTAGATTTTTGACGTAGCTGTAACAATTATTTCAGTCATATCGCTACGATTTATGCAGTGTGACATTTTATAGTGATGTAAAGCACTGGGGAATCATGCCGCAATATTTTGACACCAGGCCCACCAGTCCTAACATTAACCTTATAATACTGTGCGCCAAGTGCGGCAGCTCTTTGTTCCATTTTTAAAGTCTTTGGTATGACTCGGCCAGGGTTCAAACCTGCGACCTCTCGCATCCCAGGCGTACGCTCTAGCAACTAGGCCACCGGAGTGATTAACTGAAATTGCATCTGTGTTTGAACGAATGTTTCAACAAAGACTCTGTGGATGGCCACAGTTGCTACAGGCTGATTCTGTGCAAAGAATTCCTTGGTGGATTAACGTCAATGATGAAAAAAGGACACACAGCAATTCATCCCTATCAGGGAATAGTTGAGAGATTTAATTAAACGCCTTTTGAGCGACTATTTGGATAGCAATATGCGCAGGAAATATCCTTGAATAATGTTCAGGCGGATAAGAGATCTGGTGATTGGGTTGTAAGACTACTAAGATAATGAAATTTACTCATGGAATTTCTATGACCCCCATCAATGCAATTACAAAGAAACACATACCAGTACAACGACGAGACCCTTTCTCAAAAACAACTATTACTAGGTAATGTAACTATCAAATATTTATATTAGCCGGGGTAGCTGGAGGGAGCTAGTAAAACAAAAGCGATTGACCCAGTCTGGAGTGTAACTAGGCATACAATTTTCAGCGTGGTAGGATTAACAGGTATACCTGCAAAATACAAACTAAATTTAACTGTTTTTCAACGGGTTATTTGTACGTGAACAATTACAAGTAATTCCTGAAGATACACAATTATCACCACTTTGACTATTGTAAATTGTCTCCTATGCGTCGATTATACTTAAGACAGTTCAACATTTCATTTTCGCGTGTATGGCCGAGACTACTATTAATTCTTTTCACGCTAAATTGTCGTGCGTCATTAGGGGAATACTGCTGCAATATTGCTGTGTTTCAGCAAGCACACTGATTATTTCGTCGTTGTTTCATCATTATGATAAAATTCAGATCAAGATCAAAGTGCGCTTTTTTGTCACATCACTGATAACCAGCTAATTGTTCCTACTATATCGTTGCCATTACCAATATTGGTTTCCTGAGTTTCATTCTAATTCATTGTAACCCTCCACAGCTGAGACATCTTCTGACTCATGACAGGGCTAGATAAACTAAATTCGACCACTCAAGACGATCATCGACATTACATATGTTAATATCCAAAATAGTTAATTCTCTGATGAATGAATAGTCATAGCATATCATAGAGTCCATGGAGATTTTTCCATCGTTAACGAACTCTTAATAGCGCTCACAGAAACTAAAACAATAAAGATTTGGTTTCCCCATACCCCAGAATTTCAATATCGATAATCTGTCACCTTGTATCTGCTGGGCGATAACACAATGGCCTAGATAGATTTGGAAATTTTTTATGTAACATAATAATTGCTGCTGAAATGTATCACGAACTATCTTCCGATTTGCAATTACCAACTCAGCAGGCCTCCACAAATTCCAAAATCACTCACTACAGTCTCTGGAAGTACCTGACGTATTTTTTTCACATTGAATTTTATCCGACTGCAGTCTGATTAGCTTTCGAAACTTTTTCAACATTGAATCAATAGCACTGTTATCGTCAATTATCTCCTCATAATAATTTACGAATACTTTGGGTAATTCATGCAGAGATGATCCAACAAAAGGTAATGGCTGACCATGATCTCCTCACATTATTACAGCAGTATTCCATGTCAATAACCAATCAAGAAACATTTTTAATACATCTATAGGCACAGTGAATATCTTATACCAGATAATGTTTTAAGAATATGTTTTCTCCCATTCACTCAGAATTACACGAATTTCCACCGAAAGAAGCTCTGATAAGAATGAGATCTAACTCCTCCCAATTTCATTTCACTGGCGAGCCTATCAGTTGGAGTTCACACAACAATATCAAAATTCCGAAAAACTTCAATCGCACGCGTTGTTTTACCAAACCACCTCATTCGTTAAGATAAACGGTTTAATGTCTGTTTGCAAGATGATATACCGATGTTGCTGATGACAACGCTGATTAGATTCAACGTCAGCGGATTTATAATAACTGATTTTTTTTCTTTTATTTTCATTCTTTCTATGAGTCATCAGTACACATATTTAACAAATCCGCTTATATTTTATTAAAATAAAATGAAGCTGTGGCTACTCTAACCGTGGTATCATGAAAACTGTTTATCATCTATAATAACTCTTTCGAAACATACGCTGACATCAAAGATTTTAAATGAGTAAATTGTGGTGAGTCACCATCAATATTTCTTATAACTGTACCTAATTCATTTCCATCCAAAAAGTAATCGATTTTCCTGCTAATAAATGTGCCTTTCTCTGTTGTATCAGTAATTATAAAATCAAGTTCGGTATCATCGATGATTAATCTTGTGCAATGTTGTTTATGATGACTTGAACTACCCTGAGTAAATTGACCAATTATTATTTGTCTGCTGAGACCTTTTGCAAGTTTATTTTTACATTCAAATTCATCGGGATTACGCTCAAAGATTTCGTCAAGAACAGGTATTTCAACGACGGGCAGCAGAACTTGTTTCTGTGGACGATGCGATTTTATTGCTTCACTTACAGTTAATGATGTCAAATTTCAGCATCAATCATATATCGTAACGACACTAATGGAGAGCATCTACGTTCGCTAAAATGACAACCAAACCACAATCGGATAGGGATTTTCTGTAAACTCAAACGATTCAATACATGCAAAACCAATTAAATCAAGTCTAAGAGTTGTCTATTTATCATAACTCTGGTCATTTCGTGTGTTGGATGTTCAAATCTCTTAAAATATTTAGCACAATCTCACGTATCATGAAAACTTCTTAGAATTACACCCAGCCATATCAGGTGAGATAACATCTCCACAATGGTGTTTAGTATTATACAACATGTCTTGTCCGTATTCGACATAACTTCGTTATATATCAACAAGAAATTCCGATTTTGTTGGTTTCCATTGAAGTTTTCTCCTGAGCAAAAAGAGCAGTAATTAACGGAACGGTAAGCAATTACCGAGTAATTTGTTTAACATCATCGGTATTTTTCAACGCATGTTTTCTCATTTCCGACAGGAGGGACACAGATCGATAAATGTCTCCATTAGGTCATACAAACGAATCATAATTCCATATTTGGAACATTGAAACATCCACACAGATACAGGATCACGTTTAATAATTTTATTTATAAAATCAAATATCACCGTTAAAAATTTTAGTTATATCTTGTGGAAACATTGTTACAGCCATCGTCCACGCGTGCGCGTTATGATCAACGATGTCTATCGAAACTCCCTTTGATTTATATTTTGACTAGTACAAGATCTCGCCAGTTATAGTTTTCACCCTTATCGGAATTTTTTTTTCCCCGCTCAACAACTTCGTTGATCGTAGTGCCATTGTCTCTAACATGCTCTGCCCATTCAATCATTTTTACTTCATAAATCCGTTAAACCATTTTCACGTATCACGATTGTGAATTTTTCTGTTGCTCACTGGCTTGTGATCGTCAACGCTAGGCTTATCATTCAGAGAATATATCGTGTAAACAACTGCTGTTACATGATGTGCTCGTATATAATATCGTTTGTCAATAGCATTCAACATTCCTGGTTAGGAAGTTTCATTTAACTTGACAACACCCTAGCGGGGTGTGATTCATTAACATGATCACGTTTGTCCATGTCAGCGTCCTCTACCACTGCAGTATATACCGCTTTGATAAATTTCATTCTGTAAATATATCATTGTTAGTCGAATGTTTTTGCTCGCTTATCATTCATTGTAGCATTCTGAACTACACATGAGCCCCACCATCGTTAGGAAATTCTTTCTTAGCTTCAATGATGCTATCGATTAAAGTCTTATTCGCCAAAGCTTGCCTTGGCAAGTCAGGGTTATTTTGTCAAGATCGAATCTCCCTTTAGAGGATTTGATTGCAGATAATCAAGTAAATTCTTCCATGTTATAATTAAAGTAAAATAAATATTTAAATTAAACAATGATATATAGTATGCAATGATTCAAACAAAGAATGGTTGCAAGTGGTCGAATATTGGATCTGCATCTCCTTGTAATACTATCTGTGTAAGTGTAAATTAATTCTTTGGATATAACCTACATAGCGTGCGACGAGAGAGTCTAGGACCAAAACCATGTTTGAAATGTAACAAAGGAGTCAGGGGGAAACGCATTTGTGTGTAGAATGCGAAGGCAGAAAATAGGCTTTGAAAAAGTATTATCATAAAAATGATAATAATGAAATTCCTATTTTAAAAAATCCTGAAGACTATTTTGTTACATTTTCACGCTTAGAATTTTACATATTTTTATAGTATTATAATAATAATTTAGACAAATAATATATTCTATATAAATGGAGCAAGGAAATAACGTATCCGATCTTCAAAAAGTAAGAGGCATCTCGTGCTGGTGTAATAATTAACTGAATAAAATGATTGTTTCGGTTGATAATGCTGGTTATCTCAGATCTACCGCTGGGAAAAGCGGTATCTCTGTCACAGGCTATGGACTGATTGAAAATGTGTTGTGACTGATCATATTAAATGCCAAAACAAAATTCGATGATTCTTTGAATAATTTGCAGGCTATTACAGAGTCAGAATTGCAAACTTGGGGAGGCTGGTAATAATATAAAAGTTCAAGACCAGTTATATCTGGTAATGTAGAGACATTGGATGAAACAGATTTTTAATCGATATATACAACTGCCAAATATTTCTGTATTTTCCCATCTTCGGTACAACATGTCGCAGATAAAATAACCAGATCAACATTTTCAAAGAAATACAAACAAAGCATAATATGTATGTATATAGATGCATCCCCTCCTGAATTTTACGAAGTAGACCAGAAAAATACTGAAGTTAAACAGAAAAATACTAAAGAACAAAAAGTAGAGCAAACATTATTTTTCTCTCTGTCTAAGTATTTTGCTCTGAGTTTTTTAAAGACAGGAAAACAGCACTAAAATTCATTGAAGGAAAATACCTCTGTCAAGTAAATCTTCTTGCTTGTAGAGAAATGAAAGAGTAACTTAGCTTGTATTTTATAGTTATTTTCGCATATAAATGAATTTATTTGGGGTTCTTTTAG